TGAGCTCCTGCAATCTCAGCTACGCAGGATCACGAGGATCATGGTTCAAGCCAGCTAGGCAAAACATTTGCGAGACCCCATGTCAACAAATAAGTAGGATATGGTGGTTACTACCTGTAATCACAACGAGGCAGGAGGCATAGGTAGGAAGATTAAAGTCCTGGGCAAAAATGCAAGATACTACCAAAAAAATAACTAAAATAAAAAGGGATGGGGGCATGGCTCAAATGGTAGAACTGCTGTCTAGCAAGCACAAGGCCCTGAGTTCAAACCTCATTAGCTACAAAAAAAAAAAAAGGTTGGGGATAAGATCATGCTTGGTTCATCCAAGACACAGCAAGGACCAGTATCACTGGAACAAAATGGGAGAGGGAAAGATGGTAAGAAGATAATGCCAGGTAGTCAGCATGGAATAGCTCATGTAGGATCGTGAAGGTTATAGACTAAAGGCTTTGATATTTTTGAGGCAGATGAAAAGCTCTGCAGTTATGAGTGGTAGAGTGATAGGATAGACCTTATGTGCATGTTTGAAAAGTAGGTCTGACTGCTCTGGAACAGGGAAGCCATAAAGTAGGCTATGGGCAAAAAATAAATAAATAAATAAGAAAAAATGGCTGCATAGATTGGAGTGATGGCAGGGAGATGGTAAAAGGATCGTGGAATGTGAGGGAAAGAAAGGAATCCAGAATGCCACCAAAGTGTCACATGAACTACTGGAGGCTGACTCACCACTGACTGGGTTGACAGGGTGTGACAGGAGCAAGCTTAGGGGGGGAAGGTAGGGAGTTTGATCTTAAATACCTTAAATACGTTAGGGCCAATTTTGCTTTTCAACACATAGTGAGTGTGAAAGGGCAGTTTCGTATATCCTCTGGAGATTAGATGAGAGGTCAAGACTGTGTGTTTTCAGCATAGACATGGTACTTAAAATCCAAGACTGGATCAATCCACTTGAAGACTCAGTATACACAGAGAAAAGAATTCCAAGGAGTGAATTCTGGGCCACTCCTACCTTTGATGTTCAGTAGATGAAGAAACAACATCAGAGATAGAGAAAGAGCTTAAGCGAAGAGATTGTTTAAGGGAAGAAGCATTTCCAAGCAGGGAAAGTCCATGGTGCCAACTCACACCTAGGTGATAAATCAAACCTAGTGAAGACTAGGAGTGGGCTAAAAGATCTGACAATGGGGAAGTCACCTGATCTGAACAGAGCGAACTCAAGAGGGACAAAGAAAGTCTAGCTGCAAAGATTCAGAGAGATAAAGTGAAGAACTGGAGAAAAGTATGGACAACTCTCCCACAGATTTATAACAAAAGGCAAGTGAGAAGTAGAAGATGAGAGATATTCTAGCATAGATGCACATTGCTAGCCAGAACTTAGGAAGTATACTTCCTGTGAGTCAGCTGCACTAAAGCAATTAATGCTTGTCTTGAAAGTACATTGATTCATGTGATTTTTTTTCCTCTTCATGTACAGATGTACATAAAAAAACTGTTACATATGTATATATTTTAAGAATAATATCTTGTACCACTCTTCCTCAATCCCTCCTTAGAGGAAAAGATTGTGAACGTTCTTATGGCCCTAAATTTCTTTTAAAAATTCATGCTCTGGGATTACTGACAGCGTGTTTCTCCTTTGGTAGTGCTTCTGGAGATATTTATTGAAAGATTTTTGGATAAATTGACATGAGAGATTTGCTTCAAAATAATTTAGTTAGGTGGGAGTAGGACGAGAGAAGGTGGTTTTGAGTTGATAGTTGAGAAAGCCATGTGATTGTTATTATGATAGCTCCTTAAAGTCATTCTGCCTGCTTCCAAAAATGTCCATACAATGTTCAAGATTAAAAGAAGCATAGAAATAATACTATGCCTAACCCAAAGGAATCCATTAGGTGGCAAAATTTCAGATAATTTCATATCAGGATGAGGAGCTATTTTGGAGCACAGAAAAATTTTTGACATTTTTCAAATCATATCAGCTACTTGCTTTCATAAACAAGGCAAGCATTGATGACATTTTAATAGATCTCAAAGTGTCTCTGTTGCTTTAAGATAGGATTGATCCAGATATGTTGTATGTTAGCAATTTGGAAGATTGGATTTATTTTTTTAACTGAACCCTTGGTTCTCTTAAATATCTGGTCATTTTAGGTAAGCATGAAGAATTCTGAAAACATGTAATGTTTTGAAATATAATTTGAGGGAAAGTAATACTACAGTCACTATAGTCACAAAGCAAATGCTAATCCAGTGGATTGTAATCTAAAAGAATACTTAGTCAGAAGCTAGGGTCTCACTCCTGTAATCCTAGTTACTCAGGAGGCAGAGATCAGGAGGACTGCAGTTTGAAGATAGTCTTAGGCAAACAGTTCAAGAGACCCTATCTTGGAAAAACCCAATACAAAACAGGGCAGTCAGAGTGGCTCAAGTGATAGAGCACCTGTCCAGCAAGACTTGTAAGTGTGAGGCTCTGAGTTCAAACCCTAGTGCTGCCAAAAGAGAACAAATAGTTCAGTAAATAGAAGATGAAATTTCACTCAACAATAGTTACATTTGTTTAGAAACTGAGTCATTCTATTCTGCTATAAGAATTTAGGTAACAAAAGGTCTTTCTTAAGCTTTTAAAATAAGCAAATGTAGAAATAAGAGCACAGTTACATTAACTTTTCAAGTAAGAGTGAATAGGTATTCTTGCTTATTAACTACTCACTGATGATTTTACAGTGTTATTTCCATTCACTATAGTTGTCACTAATTGCTGACCATTTCTAACAGGGAAAGTTAAAAAAACAAACTGCAATAATGTTTTTGCACACAAGAAATCTTTGTATTTTATACGTAACACCTGTCATTCACTATAGACTAATTACTAAAAGTCTGCGATGTATTTGAAACCTATGTATTGGAGATCTAATTCTACTTCAAAAATTCAATCCAAAGTTATATTTTTCTTTTGAAGTGTATGGGTTCTTGTGCATGGCTTTATTGCCCTCAACATTTTCTTGGTGTAAACTACTGAGCATGGGAACAAGATTTCCTTTGTAATTGATACCTAAATTTCTGTTCTGCTTTAAGCATCTAATTTGTACTGTAAAGACATGTAATTTAAGGCTTGTAGCTATATCACAAAAGTACAATGGTTTACTCTGATCTCTAATTTTCTGAGTTCTACTGGCTATAATTTAAATTTTTTGCATGTTCTAAACTGCCATGCAAATCAGTATGCATCAGAAACCTTTGCGTATTGACAGAAACCGGGAAAAGGATGCCTTGTTCTCATCTCAGATAAGCATTCCCTTTTCAAGTCTGCAGGTGCAAGGCAGCCCATTCATAATACTTGCCTCAAATTAGTTAGATTGCCAGATGAAAATACAATGCTAGTACATGAGAACCCAAGTAATCCTTACAAGCACAGCGAATTAAAAAAAAAGTATTATGAGCAAATTCTAGAGGCAAGTGGGACTTTTTTCTTTGTGTATTAGGAACAAAATATCTGTTGACTTAAGTGTATGTTTACTAAATCTAGAAAAACATTCTATTACTTATTCAAACAGGATGGAATTATGCTTGGTGGAAAATCTGCTGCACAAATACATGTTCCATTTAAGAGATAAATGATAATAATGTGACTTTTTCCTTTGCATTAAGTTTCACTTATTTTGAAATTGATATGTAAGCCACAAAATAACCACAAGATAAATATTTACTCTAATTGACCCTGTTTCAGATAACTAGGTAAATTTTTCTGAAACAAATATTAGACAACTATTTATGTAACAATTAAGTGGAATTAGCTGGTTGTTTCCATTCTAAACCCTTATTTATAAGGTTATGACTTAACTATTTTAATTAGTTTCAGGTAGAGACTTGATAGGTCAAGTCAAAGCATGGGAATAAATTTTAGAATACAAAAGAATTGTCATTATTCATTAAATTCTCCTAGACTTGGAGAGGTTAAAGTAAGGCTCTAAAAGAATTTAAGGACTTGATAACCAAACAGAGAAAAAGTGAAAATTTTTAAAGTATGGCAGTAGTCACTGTATTTGCAAAAATAAATATTTGACGTATATGGAAAACTCCACCCTAAATTGATAATTATTAGCATTACTTACTTTGTATTATGGCTTGCTAACAATACATCGTTGCCACCTTACATTTGACTTTGAATACATAAATAAAAAGTACCTGAAGCCCTTCTTACACAGCCTTTGACTTGAACTTTCTTTTGTGACTTAGGGAGGGCAGGTATTATCCCCATATTACAGATGAGGACTTTGAAGTTTATAAAGAGGTAACCTCTTCTAATCAAGGTAACTCTCACAAAAGTGGCTTCCTGTCAATCTTGCTCCAGGGTTCTCTGCTTCTCAGATTGAGTTCAATGGGGGATCAATTTTTTTTTTAATTTAAAATTTTTTAAAATTAAAAAAAATTTTTTAAGATGGTGACTTAAAACCCAAATATTCTTCAATAGCATGTAATTCATTCAGATTGAACCCTATGATAGAAGAAACTTGTATGTTTCTGTTCTTTCCTTTCATGGACTAAAAAAATAAGACTTGTTCCCATTATAAACCAGTTTATCCATAGCCTCGGGTCAAATGCAAGTTAGTGGCTTGAGAACCCAAATACTAGAAAGATGCAGAAATGTCCTCAAGGATGTACTGGAACCCCTAAATTGGCTTCTGTAAATTCAACACCTTCTATTCCAAACTTTCATTCGAGCACTGCCTTCCCACCACCCTGGAGCAACAGACAGTGTGTCCTAAAGAGCTAGCTATTGCTGTCACCCCAGAGCGGAAATGCTTGACACCTGGACTCTCTGAGGCCCCCTGCGATGGAGAACTAACTCTGCCACACACAGACCCACCCTCCTGGTCTCAGGACTGATGGAAACTGACATCTGCCACTTACCTGTCCCAAGATGCTCTGGCCAGGAATCTTTGTGCCAGCCCAAGTCTTTGGGCCAAGAGAAGAAAACAAAAAACAAAATAACTTACCGCTTTGGCCCAGTCCAAGAACAAGTGAAAACACCCAGGCCGCCTGGAGAAACGAGGCAGGACCTCGCTGGCAGTTTTGCAGGCAGACAAATGCAGCAGTAAAAAAAGCCAGGGCCGAGCCGCACATAATGCAAAGCAGCCCGCCCCGCGCCCGCCGCCTGGCCGCTTGCTGGCGCGCGTTCGCGCTTTCAGGGCGCACCTCGGGGCCCGCGGGCCGAGAGTCGCTAGGACCTTTCCCGCAGGCCCGGCAGGCGGCCCCCGCAGCTCGGAGCGAGCAGTGCAGGTATGCGGGCCGGGGCACCGCTCCGCATCTCAGGGCCCCCGCGGCCCTTCCAGCTCTGCACCGCGGTGCCTGCGATTTCGGCGAAAAACACCTCCTCGGACAGACGGCCGATGGCCCGCGGCGGCGACGCGAGCGAGGGCTCCAGAGTCCGCCCCGGGACAAAGAAAAGAGCTTTTGTTTCTCTCCAGCCGATGGGGCTCTGCTGCATAAATCAGCTTAGCGAAGAGCCAAACACAATCAAACCCAAACAAAGCCCGAAGCTGGGGAGAAAGTCACCCTCATGTAATTCACTGGGTGATGCTGTATTTGAGGGAGGGTACTCCTAGAAAGTCAAGGGTGGGGGTGGGGGAAGTCGATGGCGCATCAATCAGCGCGAGCTTCTTCCACAGGTGGACAGGGAGGCCAACTCCACTTAGTTGCAGCTTCGCAGCCTCATCGGGGAGCAGCGGGCAAGGACCAGGCAACAGCGTCCCGACTGGCGAGGAAGGAGGCTTGGGGTGCCAGCGGCTGGGGAGGCGGCTCCTGGAGCGCCCTAGACGTCCGCGGGCGAGGAGGGAGGCATCGCAGCTCCCTGCCGGGCCAGGAGTGGAGTGCACGGCCGCTAGCGCAGGAGGGAAGGTTCCACTGGGGTGCGGGAGCCCGGCCTTGCGGGGCGGGGGCTTCGTGCCCTGGTCCTTTGGGCTCCAGTGCGCGACTCAGGAGTCCCGTAACCCAGAGCCCTGGCAGCTGGCGAGCTCTGGGCTACACTCGGCAAGGATACGAGGGGGGGCGAGGCTGGCGATGGGCGGGGGTGGGGTGGTCCTGGTCCTGCCCCCGGGGGCTCTCAACCTGCTGGTAACTGGGGGAGCTCCTAGCCTCGAGTTGCTAGGAAACCGCTCAACGCTATAGTGCGCCTCGCCCTGGTAGCCTGCAGGCGCCGCGGCTACCCCAGCAGCAGCAAGATCGCGGAGCAGCGTGGGCGGGACATTGGTGAGGCATGAAGTCACCGCGGCCCACACTCGCTCTTTGTTTTGCTCACTCCAGCTCCTTTTCTCCCCCTTGGATCTGATGTTGCCAGTAACACCGTTCACAAGAACTCCTGGTGCGTAGCTGCGCAACAGGAATCACAAGCTGAGTTCCCTTTTCCCTCCTCCCCGGAACGCTGCGCCCCAACGCTCGCCTAGCGGGTGTGGTGGGAGACTCGCTCAGCACGAGTAGCAGCTGTGAGCAAACCCCAATCTCTCACCCCCACACTAGGCGCTCCTTTGTTCAGAGATACTCACTGCCCCACAGCTGCTGCATACAAAGTGGAGTCCAGGGTCCTCTCCCCGCCCCCAACACTCTTGGCTCCCGGGGTGTGCACTGACCACTTTGCAGAGTTAGGATCTTGCCCTATGTCCCATCCAAAGGCTGTCCCGGCTCTCCCAAGCCTCTGGAAAGTTTGGGCGAGTCCGTAGGGGCTGATCCCAGAGCCACTGACCGAGATTTCGAGTCGCAGAGCCTCAACCCTAGGCTGGACTGCCTAGTTTTTTTTCCCAGGGTCTGGTAGTGGCTTTGGGCTTTTGTTGGTTGCAGTGGGTCTTTTGACCTTAAACGTCACCATTCAGTAAAAGGAACAAAGAAATTACAGACTGCAGCAAAGGGGTGAGCGAGAAGCTAAGGAGAGGAGGTATTTCTGCCTGCTTGCCACCCAGAAACTTAGGTGCAGGCGGGGAGCAGTGCTGTGTTGGGCAACTGAGGGAGTAGTGTGCCTCCCTGAGTCCTGTCACTACCACTGTAAACCGAGGGAGGGAACCCAGTCCCCTGGATTGGAAACCAACACTCTTTCCAATTTGAAACAGGATGATAGTGGTTCCCCTTTTCCTCTCAGGGCAGGGGTGATTTCCCCGTCTTGAAGTCTGACCTCCTATTTTTTCCACTAGTAACTTACCCGATGTGTGTAATAGAGCACTCGCCTCTTGCAGGCATCAGACCAGTCTAACCAGGTCAAGGTGAAATATGCAGGAGTTTCCCTCCTTATTCAATAGTTTCCATCTTCTTATCTGGAGTTAAAAAAGAAAAAAGAAAGAAAGAAACAAAACAAAACAAAACAAGTGGGAGGCTCTCTTCTTTTTTCTTTCTGTTTTCTAATTATTAACCAACTAAATGGAAAGTACCTGGTTAATAAACCACAGCATCAAAACTCCCCTTTTTTACAGGTGTGGACTATGCATTGGGGTGCACAGAATAAGGTAAGCAAATTAGGAATCTAGTTGGAAGAAGGCCCTGGATCTACAAACTGATGCTGGTAACACAGTTCTGCCACAGGCAATGTACTCTAAATAAACAGAACTCAGTCCCGCTGGGCTTCTTTTAAAAACTGTCTTTCCTTGGTTAGAGTTCAAACGTCTATGGCTTTGTTTTTGGAGGTTTAAAAGGAAGGGCATGAAAAGTAGTTGGATGGGGGTGAGGACTTGAAAACTTGAATACAAGAGTGGCATATTCAGGATCTGATTAGTGCCTCTACACTTGGGCAGCATGTGTATTTTCCAGAGATATGTCATAGGCCTAAAGAGTGCAGTCACCCTTGAGAAAGTATAGTACTGCCATTAAGAAAAATAATAAATAAGGCTGGAGGTGTGACTCGTTGCAGAGTACCTGCTTAACAAGCCCTTAGTTCAAACTCCAGTACTACCAAAAAACTAGCTAACTAAATAAACAGAAATAAATCCCTAACTCCCATAGGATGTGTATCAAAGTCCACTCACACTGTCATGTGACTATCACATCAAAGTTTCATGACATATTTTGAAATTTAACTTTTGATGCTGATTTTAAGTGGCAGTTACAATATTAAATAAAATATAAGCTTATGAAAATAAGAACAGATGAAACTTTATAAAATTGATGATGTATGCACTGATTTAAGAGCTCTGTATTGTTAGGTGTTGATATGTTCTATATACCAAGTCAAAACAACTGTGTAGGGAGATGGAGAAAATGAAGGTCACAAATCTGTTTCAGGAAAATTTGAACCTTTTTAGAATAATGTGGAGTGCAAGGGAATAACTGTCATGATGCCAGTTTTGTGGAATTGTTGAAGAATAAACATAGCACTGTTTATTACCACTTCCAAGTTAGGGAGAGGTTGTAGCCCAGGTTTTCAAAATAAAATAAGATACTGTGTTCTACATGTTAGACTAGAATCCTAAAAGTTATCTACCAACAAGTTATCTGCACATTTTGAGCTATAAAGACAAAAGTAAATGTACCTGAAATCCTGCAATTCATGTATGGGTCTTGTTACAGTAAATATAACTAGTGACCTAGGAACAAAATTTTTGCTTGTTTCCAATAAATGTCATTGATCACCATAACTCATCTGTCTTTCTGTAAGAAATGTACAAAATATTGTGAAAGTTTACAGTATTATCTTCACCATATTACCTAGAGAATTTAATGGAGAAAAAAAGTTCAAAATGATGACTAATTTCTGTTTTTCTATTGTGTTCTGCTGTCTTGCTTTGAAATTTCTGACAGCTGATTTTTCATCATTTGTGGTAATGACAGCAAATGAAATTCCCAGATAGTCTAAAAATAACAGTTTAGGTATTCATTTCAGCCTTACTCTCATTAGATTCTTTGAGCTAATAACATCATAAAATTAGATGATTTCTTTCTTCCCTACTTCTTTGACCTTGATTTTTCACTACTTCAATTTATAGTGACAGAGACATCTGAGAGACTATTTCTTTTATTCAATATGCACACTTTCACCTGATCTTGCCAACAGTATTGACTTCATAGTTGTACCTAGAGTAGTATTCACATTTTAATATGACTTTCTGAAGTTGAGATCAGAGCTACTACTCAATAGCTTTTTAGTGGACGGTCATAAGTTTCTATGAGTTTGCTTCGTCTACAACTCGTAAGAGATGAGGAGTGACAAGACAAGTGGGCTATATATTATTGTTCTTCAGTGATGAAGAACAGAAGACACTGAAAGATACTTTTCACTGAAGTATTCTATAAGATAGTGTTTTTCATCATACCATGTAATAAAGACTGTCTACAACATAAGCACCTACTTCTGAGATCTAAGTTTCAGTCATTATTCCAGGAAATTCTGATTAGGTCTTATATAGTGCCCAGCAACCTGCATTATCACAAGCTCCTTAAATGTTTCTTACATGTATGGAAGTATAAGAACTCCCTACAATAATGGATTAATACAGAGATTTCTCCAAGTCTTCGTGAGTGTTCACTGACAAAGTACAGTGTCAGGTGCAATATTTCTAAAAGTGCTGTTGGAGTCAATGTCTCTTGCCAAGATAGTCTATGGATGGTTGAGTTTATGAGATACTGATGTTTTCTGAAACAAGACCTGCATGATTAGGCTTAGTAAATACTGGATTAAAGTTAAATTGTGTCCCTTCCTGGAGAAATTTCCAGAAACTCAAGCAGGCCAACATACATTAATTAGAGTCTCATGAAGAACCGTTTCTTTGTTCATGGAACATCTCACAGGCTAATTTTTCCATGAATTACACATCTAAGATGGTCCCATTTTACATATGTGAAAACTGAGGTTCAGACTGACAAAGAGAGCAGCCTTACTTTAAGAGAAATCCTGAGAAGCATGAATCAGATCTCTGATTATCTTCAACAGTTACATATCAGCAATGATTTTTTTTTTTTGGTTTCAAGTAATAGAGTCCTATTGTAGCTGTTATAGTTTTAAAAAATTATTGGAAGGGAATTGGGAGCCCACAGAATCAGCAGGATTGAATAAGGAGACCAGGATAAGACCGGAAAACAAAGCAGGCATAAACCCCAAGAGGAAGTATCTAGTTCTTAAGAATGAATTGTAATCTTCTCTTCATCTTTGGACCACTTGATCAAGGTTCAGAATCCTGGTGGGATTATCTAATTTTCAGAACTTTGCTTATTGGAAGCCTAGAAAGTAGTAGTCTTTGGCTTCCTCCATGAAAAATATGGGTCCTCTGAATGAGACATTTATCTGTGCATACTGTAACCCCAGCTTTCATTTATCCTTTCATAGTACAAAACCCACTACAGTAGACTTGGGTATGTGGTTCCAAGGAGACCCTTGCCGAGGAAAAACTGAGAATGTTCAGGGTTTACAGAGTTCAGTACTCTAAAATTACTCTAAATTTAAATAGACCAGTCATACAATAAGTCTGAGCATCCATAACTTGGAACCACATGGAGTTACTGTCACAAAGTTACTGTTGTACACAATAATATTACTCACCAAAAATTGATCTTATTTCATGTTGTATATTTTGAAATACTGCGGGTGCTTGATTCATTTTTCCTATAATGTAGCCCAACTCCTACTAAAGACACATGGCCTGTCAACAAATCTCAAATTCTCACCGTGTCATTTAAATTAAACACATTATCTTTTACTTTGCTCTCTGTTGGCAACATTTGCTTTTTTGGGAGGCATATTTTTACAAAACTAAGGCCAGGGAAACAACAGATCGCACAACAACTTAAATGAAAGGGATGGTAATGACCAAGAGCCTCTCTGCATCAACTATGCTGTGGAATGC